TTGCGTCCCACCGCGTCAGTTTCAGTTCCAGAGGCGGGCCGAGATCTAATCCGACAACCCTTCTTCAGGTGATTTCTTACCCGCCCGCTGCCTTAACCGATCCGGCTATTTACATAAGCAATTGATAAGTTGTCTTCAATTTACAAAACTGTGGTATGTGTATATTATTCAGGGAATGCACTTTGACGACAATCCTGGCGCCATTAATTCCATGACTGTGGACTTAATATAACCTCCAATCACAATTTGTTGTATACGTCAATCATGACAGAAATTCATATCCCTATACATAAATTATTTATCATTACATTTTCACAGCACATTTTCCAGCAACATAAAATATAAATACGTGTTTTCTTTATTAATATATTCTCAGTAAAAATCAAATTCGGTTATGGCCCGCCGGTCCATGATTATATATTATTATATTATAATGAAATTTAAAATTTGAGATTAATTATTACTGAATATATATTTATTCATTAATAATTAATCTTTATATATATATATATATATATATATATATATTATATATATATATATATATATATATATATATATATATATATATATATATATATATATATATATATATATAAGCAATAGGATATATAATTAATAATATTAATACAACGTTACGTCATCTGTTAGTTTACTCAGAAGTTACTAATAATATGTTAGTTAGTTTTATAAATTTAGACCAATAATAATGATTATATTAAAAATTATAGACACTGTCGTTTGTTGACATTGAGGTATTTTTTGAAAACAGTGAACTGGAAAACAAGAAAGTTTGTACGCACTGTCAACAGCAAGGCATTCCATTCCTAAGAGAAAACGATAAGGGGAGGAAGTAAAGAAAGAGGAAAAAAGAGAAGTAAGAAATTGTTGGACATTTGAGCAGTGGTGTTGGTCGGGCAGGTTGTCGTGTGAGTGAAATACGTCTGTAAGATGAGTGGCAAATAAGTCTACTTTCTCTTTATCACTTCTAGCCCAAGAGTTTTTCGTGTTCGTTGTCAGAGAGTATTATTCCTTGTCTGTAAGTTGGTCAGCTGTGTGTTGTAAGTTACATGTTTCTATCGTTGTATAAACTTTCCCAGTTTGTTCGAAAGTGCGTTTAGTAGCTGTTTGTCATTGGGATAGAGAGATCTTTTCCATCGGTTGAACGCACGTCGTTTTCCAATTAGAAGGGGCCGTACTTCCGTATTTCCGACCTTTATATTCCTTCCTATAGAACTAAAGCATTTGAACATTCCTTTATTGCCCGATCCACGTCCTTCTGGAATTCTTTGCCATCTGAAATTCACAACGCTTCATCCTTGTCATCATTCAAATACTTTCTTTACCAATTCCTTTTCACATTCCTAAATGATGCTCTACGAAGTGAATCGTTGTTTAATTTTTAGTTTTAAGAATAAACTTATTATTTTTATAAGGTTATGATTTATATTTTTCTTTTTATTTCAATTGCGATTTTTTAAAAACGTTTTTACTTGTTGTTGTTTATATATTGTCACTGATATTTTGTATATTGTTTAATTTCTATTAATGTACTCTTTGGCCAGATATGGTTTCTGTTCATTATTGTTATTCTTAATGAACCTTGCCCCAGGATAAAATTTATTTTCGATCTACCTATTTCCTTATAATTAGTAATATAATTAATCTATTTCCTTATAATTAATTTATAATTAATCTATTTTCTTATAATTAATTCATATATATATATATATATATATATATATATATATATATATAAAATCGTTACAGACTTACAAACGGTTAATCCAAAAACATAACTCTCCTTGTGGCTTCGAAGTATGTGAACTATAAAACTGATAATAGAACATAAAATAAATAAACCAAATAAACTAAAAGCCAAAAAAACAACAATAAATTTCCTGATAATCGGATCATTCCGTCAATGCTTCCGGAATGGGTTTCGAAATTAATAATAATACTATATCATATTTGTTTTTTAAGTTAGAATGTGGAAAAATGATTACATTTCGCATTCTCTCGATTATCTGAATAATTCCTAACTTTAATTTAATTAATGATTTTTTTTTTTTGTTCAATGTCTCTTATTTATAATTCAATGACAACTTTTCTTTTTTAGTAACAGTCACGAAACAGGTGATTGAATGTCTAAAGTCAGAATTTCTTCAACTGGGACCGGGTAAGGAGCAGGCGGAGGAACTCCTTGGCTTATTGGGACTAGAGATCGTGATTGAAGAAGAGGCGTTTTCCTCTTTTTCACCAACCAATCCCTTACAGTCACTAGAATTTATGGGCCTCAAGGAATGTTTGAAGAAAAACTTCTCCACTACCTCGACAAAGTGATTCGTAAAATGAAGATTCCTTGTGAAAACTCCTTTCAGCTGCTTAATCGTTTTGTCTGGAATGATTATATAAGCGGGTATTTCGCTTTTCGGTGTTGTCTTATGCTGTTGGGATCAGGATCCTGATGGAAATATCCTAAAATCACAAATTATATTGTTGCTAACATAAAACCTGTTTATTTATATTAGTATAAGAGGAAGAGCTTTTGATTACTGAAATGGTAACAGAGAAGGCAATAAATTAAGAAACTCTAAAGAAAACCTAACTATCCTATATCATTTTTATTTTATTAATATTTGCATGTTTGTAAATGTGTATTTGATGGACAGAGTAATTTCCCATGCCTAACATGATAACCCGTTTCAAATGCTAACATAAGGCACTAAATATCCTTTAGGACGAAAACATAAAAACTTTCTGGATCCAACAGAATGAAGGAATTACTTTGGTATTCAGAAGGCAAAGAATTTTATGCAAACATAAATGAAATTCTGGCTATTAAGTCAATGAGATATAGTATAATTTTTCTTCGCGGATCAGTTTAAACGTCTTCTCATTGGTGCCAGGAGGTGTTGGCAGATTTAGGCAGTTGGTGAGGGTTGATAGATTCGAATTTAATTTTATATTAAATGAAATTAAAGACCATACTGTTTATTAACTAAGAGATTTGGTATTAAAGCCTAGATTGTTTGCGACTGGAGATTGAATGGTGGTTGGGATTACCGTCCTCAGGGCGATATCACTCCTTCAGTCGGAAATTTTTGCATTAGAAAATTACCTCGCACAAAGTCTCCTGGTTTTGACCTAATCAAACCTGAAATTGTACGACTATAATCTTGTAAGTAAATTTGCATACCCTATAAAAATAGTATGCAATAATCTTACTGACAACTATTTACAATTATACTCTTCGCCTTACTCACTTTTTTCTTGTATGGAAGTTTTCAGTCTTAAAGGTGATACCAAAACCAATTAAGGCTCCGTACCAATTCAAATCTATTATTATTAATATTATAAACCTATTAGTGTTTTACCGTTATTTTCCAAAATATTTGAAAGATTGTATTAAAGCAGCACTAACCATTCTTAAAATCCAATAATATTATTCCTAATCACCAATTTGGCTTTAGATCTGCATATTCTAAAATTCAATAATGTTATAGAGTGTTTAATACAATTACCATGGCATTTGTAAAAAAGGAATATTGTACAACAGGTTTCGCACATACTTTCGATAAAGTGTGGCATGATGGTCTCCTTTGTAAAGCTAAATCGAGCCTACCTCATAACTACTATTTAATTCAGTTCGGAACTATTGTCGAATCGGTGCTGAAGTACCACCGGCCAATATTTTTAGGTCCAGGTCTGTACTCTATTTACACTTCCGACAATCTACAAACGCCAGACACATTATTCTCAATTTATGCAAGCGAAACTATCATACTCTCAATGATCTCAATGGATTTTGATCCAATCACAAAATCTCAAAAAGTAAAAAATCATTTAAATCTACTGCAAAACCGGCTTGCTAAATGACGCATAAAAATTAAAATACATAAATCAAATCAGCTTACATTCACACTGAGGAGTTATGGTTGCCTGGAACTTACATTACAACATCCCTTTGCCATATCATATAGGGACAAAATGTTTGGGACTCACAATGGAGAGACGACTGACCTGAATATCACACGTAACTACATTAAAAATATATAAAACCATCGACTACTAAGACGAATTCTGCACCAAAACAATGAACTATTACTTTCTAGCATAATTTGTATATACAACATCCTACTTAGACCCATATGGACGTATACTACTCAACTGTGGGGCTCATGCAAAAAAAAACACACTTACAGACTATTCCAATCTAAATTTCGTCGCTACATCACTGATTGTCCATTCTACTTGACGAATAACTTACTTCATAAATACCAACAAATACAAAATATGACTGACGTAATTAGAAAATATTACAAAAGTTTTCATGACTCACTTATTGGACATCAACTTGTAAAACATTATAAAGATACACAGGAGTATTCTACAAGAAGACTTCACGTTAGGAGTGCCTTCACTGGAAAGTCTTTCTAGTAGTGTTGCCCAAAATTGGTCTTGGTCTTGCACTTTGCAAGATCAAGACCAAGGCCGCCTAACTGTTGCAAGACCAAGACCAGGACTGGTAAAAAAAATCGATGTTTTTAATAACAAATTAGCGCAAAATAGTTACTAATACTCGACAATCTTAGTTACTATATGTAAATAATTGGTGTAACCAATATAGTTTTGCATTTAATTCCTCTAATTTTTCATTCAGGCTTAGTTAGTTAGGTTTCTCCTATCTACAAAATACAGTACTGTAAGACTGTTGCGAGACTCTTGTGCAAGACCAAGACCATGACCAAACTGAGTTTGCAAGACCAAGACTCGTCTGGGTCTCGCATTTGGGCAACACTACTTTCTAGTATAGTATCCACCTCAATCCCAGAGCGGAAGTTTGCTAGTGCAGAGCACATTTACACATTTGTGTAGGCCAAAAGGCATTTATAGAATGTTATAAATCTTTACTTGTCATAACAATGAATTCGTTAGAACATTTATTGTTATTATTATATTTTAGTACAGAAATTTTCATAATTTTCTGTCTAATTTCAATGTGCAATGTCAGATGGACGGTCAGTTGCAGACTGATCGACGGGCTGCGGGGACAGGCGATCTGCAAGACGCTGAGCGGCCTCACGCGGCGGCAGCAGGACAGCTGCAGGCGGCACCCCGTGCTCACCCTCGCCGCCATCGAGGGCCTCTCGGCCGCCGCGACTGAATGCCAGCACCAGTTCAGGTGGCATCGCTGGAACTGCTCTTCTCTAGCCGTCAGGGCCCCGCACAACAGTCACATACTCGCCAGGGGTAAGTATTTTTTGAACGATCACCTATGTGAAATTTAAATCAGAAATGTAATGTAGAGCTATTTTGGCAGTTTTGGTCCATTCCCAACAAGCCAAAATATTACGGTTATATAGGCCAAACAGCCCAATATTTTTGAAATCCAAATAGTTCTTTGATTGTTTGATCAAATTATTTTACGATTCAAGTAGAAAGAAAATGTGTGTTGACGGGTTCTTATTAAATTAACATGGCTTACCTACCTATAACCTATCTATAAGCTTATTGACGGGCTTATCACTGTGGACTTTTTTTTTATCTTCAATTCTTCATCCGCACCTGTCATGGTAGTGACAATTAGCAGATTTGTTGTTAGGTAGATACATGATACATACATGATAAGCATGGCGAAGAATGGAACTCAGCAGCACCTCTTTTCTGATCTGTTTACATCCTAAAATCAGGAAAGGAGGTCTCTAATCCAGCTCCTTTTCAGTAGCTGTTTGATAAGGAGAAATTAAAGCAAGGATAGCAGCATGAAACAGATGTCTTTCTGTATTATGGGAAACATTGCGTTATCGAAACCTGTCAACTAACTTCAGACCAACAGTCGCTTATGAAGGTGAAATGTGGGTCCTGACACAGGAATCTTCGGATCTGGAAAAGGAATGTCTTCGGCAAATCTTTGGGCCAATATGTATAAATGGCCTATGGAAAATATGAAATAATAAGGAACTCTAAGAACTGTATAAAAAAACCAGACATAGTCACTTGTGTTAAGTCAAGCCTTATAAGATGGCTTGGGCATTTAGAAAGGATGGGTGAAGATAGATACCCAAAAACATTATTGTATGGTAAACCAGGAGGCATAAGAAGGAGAAGAAAGTCCAGACTTAATATGGATTGATGGTGTGGAGGAGATGGAAATCGGACAGTGGAAAACCCGCTGATAGGGAGGATTGGAGAGGAGTTGCTGTGGAGGCCAAGACCCTACAAGAGCTGTAGAGCCACGGAAATAAGTAAATATCTATATCCAGATTGCAAATGTACCATTTTCGAAATTTAAAAAATTGAGGGTACGATAAAATGAAGCCATACACGAAGTTTCAAACAAGAGTTAATAATTTAATAAAAAGGAGTCAGAAGCGCGGACAATCTGTTTTCGTTGATTAATATAAAAAATAGTCACCCGCTTTTAATTTTGCCATACCAAATTATTAGCGTTGGTCTACTGCACTTCAGCTATCAGTCTTGTAATGATTTTCAGTTAGTAATAATCATATGAAGGTACCAGCAGCGTACTTGTATGACCTAAGTAATCGTTACGAAACGAAGAACACCGTACAAACTACATGGTCAGAATCTTGAAAGAAATTACATTTTAAATTAGACTAAAATTCGTTCGTGGATTTACTGGAAGACAAACGTCAGCTCCTCGATGATACAAAACCCGAAAGAACCTAACCGCAATAAGCGAAGAACGCTGAACCAGGATGAAAGAAAAAGTAAAGAAGAGGGCTCAAGGAAACAAGCCAGTTAAAGTTAAGACTTCATCTGGCAACTGTTGAAGTGAGCTTGGGGTCAAAAGATAGTATAAATACAAGAAAAAGAAAGAGATACAGCAGCTGAAATCGTACATTATCTCATAAAGGAGTTTTAGAGTACGCAGTGGAACGCGCCATCGCTGCTACGCAGGACGTGATCCGAATACCGCACCACTTCAAGCACTCATAATGTTCCCGTGGGAGAATGAATGAACAAATGTACAAAAATTTGTTGACCAGTCAAGGCCTATGAATGTCTATGTTCTTACTTTCTTAAATTTATTTACGACCCTAGTGCTCCATTTATCAGGACTCTGGGAAATTGTGTACCTTTCTTCCTCTACTGATGTTATACGCCTCTCTTGTGCCATTAATGTTACTCAACAAAAAATAGTGTAAACAGTACAACTTTTTTGTGCACGTAAAATTAGCAAAAATAAAAGAACATAAAATAAGGGACAGAAGTTTTAAAATCACGTATAAAATAGTAATCCGTCGTTTAAACTTACTGATATTGAACGATGTAAATAGTCATTGATGAAAGATAAATAACCAGCTTAACAAACTTATTGTGCTATAAAATTCTTTTACTTCAGGGAGCACGCTAAATTAGGAGAGCATCTCATCATGTGTTGACATTTTTTTACATTTAGGTGGCATGCACTTAGATTTTTAAGTCATTTGTTTTTTAGGCCATCTTTAAGGCTTTTAATTAAAATATCTGCTACAATTATTAAATCTCATGAACTGTTGCAGTTATTGAATTGCATTCTCTTAAAGTTGATAAGAAATTTCATAAAAGTTTAGAATGGTGTTTTTGAGCATGTTTAAATATGCATTTACACACTGCAAGGCAGAGAACCAGATTCACGGCCTCAAGTCAATAAACAATTGATGTTTATGTCATGAACAGTTGCTATGCCACCTAAATCATTTATCTTATGAATCAAGAGCTATGCAGGAGTTGCTACAGAGGATAGATCCGGTCCCGCACTCGGTATTCAAAGTACCCCTATCACGTTTTCCTGGATAATAACTTGGGCAAGCGTTTCCTTTATGGCTGGCAAAAGTGATGAGAGGTAGTTACCGTCGCTGCATTACTCCGGATTAGAGATATCTTGGAGATAATCCCCTACCCATTGCATAGTGAACCCGTTTTTCGGACCTCTTTGTCAAATTTAACAGGGGCTAGAGAGGTACGAAACTGGTGTAAATCCTTTAAAAATCCTGAATTATATCGTCGCCATTGTAGAAGGGCACGCTCTTGCCGGCATTTATTTTTGCATTATTAAACGTTTCGAAGAAAGCAAGTGCTTTTATGTTTGGCTAAGCTGAAAGGATGAAGAAGGTGAAACACAGGCACATTCCATTCTTATACATGTCCGGGACATAAAGGAGATAATAATCATTAATATCAAAATATAAGGGATTTGTTTATTGATCTTCGGTTGCTTAATATCTGAACAAATATACAAACCATCGCATATTTTATTGCATTTGAAGTAAAGAAGTGAAAGAAAAAGGTTTATAGGTACAGAATAGGTTGTACTGTATTTTAATCCTAAGAAAAAAAAACTAATAAGCCATTTAAGAACTTTACAAAAAGAAAAAGTAATAAATTAAAGGCTAAAATCATTGTTTATATAATTTCAAAACACAACCATTTTAAAACAAAAACTACATGGATAGTAAACTGCAATAGAGAACAACACTGAATTCATAGGCTATCGTGATATTCAAATTAAATTTTCATATAATTACAATTTTTTTTTCTGTTTTTGCAAAGTTAGTTCTTTAAATAAAACCAAAATCTAATCATTGAAAATGTAAACTGATATGCGGAAAATAAATTATGAATAAAAAAGGAATCAACGAATCCTCCTGATGATTTGCGTAATTAAGTTTGTGGTAGTACATAACTCCGAACAACGTTAACTTTGGACAGCAGCTTTTGTAGTCCAGAGGTTTCGACTCTCACATATATTTTAACGATTGAATAAACGCTGATCCAAATCTACAAACATATCATGAAAAAATATAAAAGCCATTAAACTTTTTAAATGTAGTTTATCTTGTTCATAATTTAATAAGATAAGTTCATCATATTTTGTAACTCTATTAAATATATACATATGTTTATTGTAAAGTTGGCTAGTCGTTGTGTAATTATTGCAATTGCTGAAAACTACTATAACAAATGAAGGTAAAGTATGTAAGGTTTCAGGGAGAGTGCGTTCGCACACGCCATCACAGCGGCTGCGGTGGCTGAGCGAGTGGCGAGAGCTTGTGCTAGCGGGCGAGTTCTTGAGTGCGGATGCGGTCCGGAGCGAGGGGCGGCCGGAGCTGGCTGGAAGTGGGGCGGATGCTCCCACAACATCAGGACAGGCCTAGCCTTCTCCCAGGAGTTCCTAGACGTCAAGGAGTCTAACAACGGCGACATACAGTCCAGGGTCAGCCTTCACAACAATGAAGCCGGCAGGATGGTCAGTATACTCACAGTTTTTGCTCTCTCTCTGTCTATAATTGGTATATAAGTGTATTATTTAAATATATATATATATATATATATATATATATATATATATATATATATATATATATATATACACATATAATTATTCAGATAGCTGTAAGTATAGCTCCTAATATGTTAAAACTACTGTCATTTTATTCGTAGGTGTCTATCCCAATTAGAACGTGAGAATGCGTTCACCCACTAATTCTTGAAATTACTCCATTCGACCTCACCAATATTTTGAATGAATCCATATAAGCATGAAATAATTTAAAATTTTGTTTCAATGAATGCATAAGAATAAACATGTTTATTATTATTATTGTACTGACATAAAATTCCATAATTTATAATCATTTCGTTTTTACACACTAACCAGGGCGAGCACGAGTGCTTAATATTATATTAGTACATGGCTCGCACGTGTATCTCCGTGTTTATAGCCAAACTCTCAACACAACGGGAACATCAAACAGACCTTTGCCGTTTTTTCTCGGTTTTCTTAATAGAATTTATAGAAAAAAAATAATTTATGGACTAATGATTTATACTAAGGAACCTTATTTTTGAGAGATTTCATTTGAATAGAACTTTCAAACAAAGGAACAAAGTTAAATAATATATCTTTAATGCTTATAATTTCATTCATAAAAAAAATAATTAATTTAATTGCAAAATAACTTACAGATACTTCCATTTGTACAGTTTTTAAGAACAGGAGAGCAATAAATTGTCTTAAGAGGTGAGCATGGAACCTCTGGTTACTACTATTAGATGTTATTTTTATTTTTACCAACCCTCTGATCAGCTCCTTTTCGTTTAATATCTTTTTTCGAGTAAAAGAAATCTGAAAAACTTTGAACAAAAGAGTACAAACAATTTCTCAAAAAAAAGGTATTAAAGAACAAAATCAAAAGTTATTCGAAGTTTCAATTTAACTATCTAATAACAGGAGTTGTTATTTAATCTCCAGTCTTGATTCATGCTAATTATTTAGCACGACAACACATTAAAAATTTATCATAAGTTGTGCGGAAACCCCTAGTACGGGATTCATGATTAACGCTGTTTTTGCAGTCTTCGAATTCAATAGAAACAACAGAAGCTAATTCATTTCTATAAAAGAACAGAGACGGGCTGAATAATGATAATTCCGGATTTATGAGCCCTTTTAAATATTTTGGATACACGTATTCATAAATTATCTATAAAAACCTGAAAGATGGGGAGAGGACGTGAGGCCCCACACGACGTTGGCAAGTAAAAATGTCTTTATTATACCGTATTATATTTAGCCGGCGAGAAAATATAACTCAATTATAGGCTATTGAGCGAGGAGGAGCTCATGTTTATTAAGCGCTTTGTCCTCCGGTCACCCCGCGTTAGCCGCCTCGGGAGGTCTAGCGGTCAGCTCTCTGGCCGAGCTCTTTCCTTCACTACACGTTCCAGCATCTTTTCAGGATGAAGCTCTATCTAACGGGTTAGGTTCCCAACGCTGTACTCCCTCGGTGTAGTGGAGTAGTGCTGTTGAGGAGTGGTTACGGTGAGCTGAACCCTCTGCACCGGTCACAGATCTTAGCTCTTTCGTCGGAGGCATCTTGCGTAACCTTAAAACCACAAATCATCCTGAGGCGGATCGTATAAGAAAAAATATATCTGAGCTGTTGGATTTATAAAAGTGAAAATATTTATAAAAATTATAATGAAATGATGCTTTTTATAATAACAACAAATTAGTCCGATCAGATGGCAATATCTTTTGGTCGGTGCTAATACTGCCCAAATGCGAGATCAAGACAAGTCTTGGTCTTGCGCACTAAGTCTTAATCTTGGTCTTGATCTTGCACAAGAGTCTTGCAGCTTATTACTATAGAGATATTAGTGCAATTTTCCAGATATGGAAAACCTCCCTATAGGAGAAAAGCCGGAATGAAAAATTGGAAGAGTTAAATGCAAAAGTATATTGGTTATACCAATTATTTACATATTGTAACTAAAATTGTGAAGTATTAGTAACTATTTCGCCTTCATTTTCATTCATTAAAACTGTTTACTCAATTTTTTTTTTTACCAGTCTTTGTCTTGCAAAGTGCCAGACCAAGACCGATTTTTGGCTATACTATACTATTCGGTGCCAATGATAATAAATAAGACTTATTATAAATAAGCAAAATAGTTACTAATACTTGATAATGTTATTTACTATGTGTAAATCTATATACACATAGTACTATGTGTGCAATATAATATAATAGTATGATATGTGTACAATCAATATACTTTTGCATTTAACTCCGCTATTTTTTCATTCGGGCTTAGTTAGGTCTCTCCTATCTAAAAAATTACAGTAATACCTCTATAGTAATAAGCTAATAAGTAACTGCAAGACCGTTGCGAGACTTTTGCGCAAGACCAAGACCATGACCAAGACTGAGTTCGCAAGAACAAGACTCGTTTCGGTCTTGCATTTGGGCAACACTACTTTATATGTGCACACGAGTATTAAAAATTCTTTAAGATTACTTTTAAATATGATTTCTTTCGTTGTAGTCATTGTAAGTTTTGAGTAAGCAAGTTTATTTTTTAAGCAATTTCAAATATTGGTTTCTGGTTGTGGATACTATAAGATAAGATAAAAATAATAAGAAAACAATAATAATAAAGTATAAAAAAGGTAGTAAATGATATCAGAGCAATAATATGAGATCTAGATATAATTAATATTATATATGTATATATATATATATATATATATATATATATATATATATATATATATATATATATATATATATATGAATATATAAAGGAGGTTTTTTAAGTGGGAAAACTTATTCAACATTTGGTAAATATGGTCACATCTACAATTTTCGTGAACGAGGATAGAAGAATATAACAACATTTCTTTTATAATATGTTGATGAATAACTGTACGACGAATCAGGAAGTTCGGGTCAGTGAAAAAAAAAAAATCTAAAAATTGTATCTATAAAATAATATAATAATTGGAGTGACTAATAAGAACAGGAGTATGTGATAAACACAGTTATATAATAATAAAGCCTATATATAAAGCCTAAATTTTGGGTGAAAGCAAGAGTGCCCAGAAGGGGTTTTTTTGTTGTTTTTTTTTTTTGTCCTCCCCTTCCTCGCCGTTAAGACTATACAGGGTTTGCCCGGGCCAGAGGGTGTGGGCTAGGATTTAAAAGACGCCTTGGCACCGGGACGTGAACTCGTGACTATTTTTATATCATTAATCATACAATCAAGTAGCCGGGCAACGGTGGTGCTGTGCACACGCGTTAGCCCATTCGGCCACCCCGCCCACCTAGAAGGGGGTTGTGAACTTTGACGGCGTAATGAATTCTCGGCGTCAAAAGTATCAATACCACAGCAAGTGTAATTGTATATGACCTACTATTTTTCCAATTATACTTTCTGCACGGTTTTTAAGAAGAGGAGAGAAACAAAATTTCTCGGGGGAGGGAGAATAGGAGTTTCATGGGTTTTTGGGAGGGGTAGGCACCTCTGAATGAAAAAATAAAGTAGGACTAAACGACCAAGTGCGTTTGTTTTGAGGACCAAGCAAGCGTTGTCCGACAACCAGATGATTGATAAACCGAGTTTTACAAGACATACAATAATCACTTTCAAATAATTAATTACTTCAGTTCGCTTTACGGTACCGTTGGGACTTTTATCACTGCCATTAATTCCTGCCTTCTCCCCAGACCCGGGAAAATCCCTGTATAGTCTGAAAAGTGCTTTTGTATATTATTACATAGAAAATTGAAATTCTAACCAAAATATTAAATTAAGAACATACGCATCTTTTTTATTTACAAATTGGTCAGCTTATTCTAATTATTTTTCATCAAAATATATGATCTTTTTATGTCAATAAAATTGACCAATAGGAATAATCAACTATCGTCAACAATATTGAAAAAATAATCAAAGAATGAGAGGAGTTGATTTGATATTTATGTTTAATAAACTTTTTAAATCTGATTACGGCCCGTCCCGTACTTCATTAAGGTCCGTCCCGCTTTGTACATGTAATGTAAAAGTTTATTTTAAATTAAATATAATAATTAAATATTATAATTGAAATAATAAAATTTAAATTATTTTATATTTAAAATAATTAAAATAAAATAATAGTTAAAACAAAATTATGGAGGATCAGAAGAAAAAAGGTTTTTAAATGATTTTTTTATATTTTTTGAGTAGTGCGTTAAATTTTTTTGGAATAAGAAGTATGGTGTCTTCATTACGGTCCCTTCAGGTTTATATATGACAGTCACTAAAATCATTTTTATATAATACATAGATATTATTCCCTCCCGATTGAATAGAAAATATTGGTGTATAGTTATTACTTTTTATTAAGTTATTGTTAAAATTATAAATTATTAAAAATAATTAACAAATCAAAACTTTTGGAAAAGCAAAATGTAATTTTATCAAACATTCTTTTTTTTTTTTTAAATATTTAAAAAAATACTCATTCATCAGTTATTTTAAAAAATTTCTGGATTCATACCTTAACCCACCATTGAAGTCTCCTATTCTATACGGGATTAACTTATTTGAACTTTATTTTATTTTGTAAAAAAAAAGTTATAAATGATAAAATTATTTATGATTTTTCCTAACTTTAAAATAACATAATCTGTAACTCTAATCACAGACGCCAGTATCGTGGAAGAGAGGGGGGGGGGAGCAAGACATTTTTTGCCTCTCAAATTACCTGATATTTCAAAATGATTTAGTTAAAAAAAAAATCACAAAAGCAGTTCAATAAATCCTATATTTAATGATTATTACATACATGTAACAGTATTAATGGCAATTAGCTGATAATTGGGCTGATATTGAATAAACGTTATGTATCGCGTTTTTAACCTTCACCTTATTTCTTAAGTGCCGTTACTTATAGGCCATATGTAATTATATAATTACTAG